CGCATGTGGGCATCCCTTGGAATCATGATCCACTGCGCAGTAGGCGCAGTGAATGTCTCGCTTGCAATTCCAGGCTATGTGTCCGTACATCTGGCAGCGGTAGCATTACTGGAGGCGGTGACTGCCGTCAAAGAACTGACAGTAGTGAGGTATGGACGGATTTGGCGGTTGCTGGGGTTTTCGTAGCTTGGACGTCGATAGTGTGCTGCATTTTGGAGATCATATCGGAGTGCTTTCTGTCGTGCTCACTCAGCAGGGCGCGGAGGCGCCCTAGCTCCTGGAGCAACTCGCTGTCGCGCATCTGGTCGTCAGGGAGGACACTGCTTCCAGTAATTCCACGAACCGATCAAGAGGAGGAATCCCGCCTTCATCAGCGGCAGCTTTTCACTGCTGGGTGGCCTTCAGGAGTTTCTTTGCATGCGCTCGTAGTTCTAGTTCCACGTGATCGGAGTTTGGGTTGACCCATACGGATGACCGCGTCAATTGATTCGTCCGTTTATAGAGAATTAGGTGAAGTAAGCCGCCAAGCGCCAAATCTGCTGTTTCTGCAGTTGGGATTTGCAAAGAGTTTTGGCCACGTTGGGGAGAGCGGATATTTTGCATACACGGTGTGTGCGGCAATTTGGCATTATCCGCCGTGGACGACATTGGGGGAAGCTCTCTACCGAAAACTAGAGAGCTCAAGAAGTGTCCAAAGGTTTATTTTTTTCCCAATCAGCAGAATCCAATTTTTGAGTTTTCTCCTCTAACCCCAACGGGGTTGACTTGAAGAACGGATATTGTGAATTAACCACGGCTGGTCGTTTTGCCCCTTGGTTTATTCGGTCGGAGTCTCGGTTTTGGCGTGGGATTGGTCTGTTTAATATTATTAGGACACAACTGCTGGCAGCCCCTTCTACGTTTAAATCGGAAGTTGCGAAAATAACGACGGTCTATTTGCTTGGCAACTTGAAAAAATTCTCAGGCCTCGCCATGTTGGGCACGGACCTCCGACATATTACACCGAGCGATCAAGCTACTTCTAAAAGAGCAATTCCCCAAGTGAACCGATGATCAAAGGCTATTATAGACAGGCATGAACTCTCTTGTTCATACACAGCCTTCAGGCCCGCACCACATTGGCTTTTTATTGGAATATTGTGGAGTAAAGCTCAATATGCTCCCACACTCTGTCTGCCAATGCCTGTTGGAAAGATGGATTGATCTGATTGACCCACTAGAAAGTTTGAGTGGTGAATTGCCGTACTGGTGGCCGCCAGAAGTCCAATATAGAAGACCCTTCAATCTACCTAAATCTGGTATGTAATTGCAATCGAGTGGGATATTTTTAAGTTAATGAAGAGAAGCTCTTGTGAAGCTTTTGCAGCATCTGTTATGTGGGATTGATTACGGCAGGCTATCCATCAAGAGACTTGATATGGAGACACGAGACATGCCAGCCATCAGGGAGTCAGAATTATATCGGAATATTTTGACGGATATTTTCGTTGCTATAACCAGCAATATCTCCTCGGCCTTGCGTTTCAGACAGCAATACCGAACACATGTGCAGGTGAGCCTCTTGAGTATCCACTGCTGAAGTATCGAACAGCTGAATGACAAGATGATGACAGTCTAGGTCTTAGACGACACCAGAACGGAACTAGGTGACACAAGCCGGATGGCGATTGAGAAATATCTTCCATTCATGCGTAAATGAACAAAGCAAATTGGCATGAGTCAATACATTGCTTTTGTACGTACTGTATCGTGCGACGGGTTCCCAGGATCGTGGCACGAGTTCCTATGGACCTGTAGTTGACTTCTAGGAGCTTGCGTCGGACTTCTGGGACCTTCGATTTCACTTCGGACAGGGATTTTATCTGGAGTAGAAATTTACATAGAGTACCTATGAAGCAACTGGCAAGCCTATTGGACCATCTGGATTATATTGTTAAAAGGATGGAAGCCGCCCCAATGTTGTTCGAACTAATTCAACTTATTTTACACAAAGATAGCCAAGTAGACTCCATGCAGAAAATTTGAATTCGCAAAGTCAGTTTAATATCCAGTTCAGCTGACCGGCAGAATCCTGGCTGGAGCCTTGAGTTTGAAGGTTGCGCACATCGTTGGACATGGGTATATCTTGAGGTGAGTAAGGTGAATTCGGCGCGGAGTATTTGTGCTCAGTGTTATGCCGATGCGTTTCGGAGGCTTCTAGTCTGTCGCCCACCCCATGGTCTCCATCTTGTATAATTCCGATGGAATTTGGTTGTTGATCATTCTTGGCCGACTTCCCTGAGTGCGGAGGGAAGTTGACCTTCAGCACCAAGGGGCTTGATCG